TTGCACAGGAATGTCTTCATTCCATGAAATAACATAAGGCATGACCCCACTAAAGATTACCAGTCAGAGGCTAAAATAGCAACAGTTGCCACATGTGGATGGAGCCTGGGAATTTGGGTAGGAGAAATACATTTCCAGCACAGTTCCTTGCATCATAATACACGTAACACAGAGCCCCCACACAGCCAACCTCAATGGCATGGGTTTTAAAATCTTGCTGCTGAATGCCTTCAGACATTTCTATAATAGTTGCTTCAAAACAGCAATGGTGCACAGTGTAGAAAGGGAAAAAGAAAAAGATACATAACACAGCACCTACACAACGTCCTATGCTTGAAGCTTGCACAAAATATACAACACTTTTGGGAGAAGATTTTAAGGGTTACTGAGGAAAAGGAAGACTCTTAACAAGTAGCCAAAGAAATGGACCAGGGACAGAATAAAGGGGAATCACATCTACACGCTGACAACAGCAGCCTTCGGTGACTTATGCAGAATAAAACTGGAATGTGAGAAATGTGAGTTTGAACTCCATTGTGCTCCCCTGGCCAAAAGCAGTCTTGATAGCGGTTAGTACAATTTAAAATTTTGTGCATGTTCTGAAATGCACAAAAAACAGTATCAAGGATGTGCAAAATCTCCTACAAGACTACTAAGAAACCTTTAAAAAACACCTGATGCCCTCTTGCAACAAATTTACTTCTTTTGCAGCAAGGAGAATTTTTTTTGCATTGTTTTCTTTATTACATGAGGATTGATTGAGTGAGCATTTGCGTCTCTGTTAAAATTACACTTGATTTCACTGAATTGTTAGGTAGGTAAATCATGGTGTGCGTGTGAGGGGTGCCATGTTACAAATCAGTATTGGGCCTAAAAATACAATGCATAGGCCTCATCAAGGATGGAAAAGGATTGTAAAAGAAAAAGATCTAAAAGATCTGTGTCGGTTTTCCAACCTGTACCTTAGCTTAGACAGTGGTTCAGCAGATAGCAGAGCAACAGATACAGTATCATCTCTGACAGGAACTCCAAGTTAAGAACATCTCATATACTGTATGTCACAGATTTTGCAACATTCAGAAGGCTCCTTGTACAGTATCTAGAATGAGAAGATTAACAACCCACAGAGGAACTGCTGGGAGCATCCTGACTACTAGCAGTTATAGAACCAGTCTCTCTTGCGACTCAACCAGGATGGTGTTAAGGATGGACAATTACAGTATATCGGGGAGAGTAATCACTGATTGGCAGAGAAAGCCTACAGTCTCTAGCTGGATGTGTTAGGTATTTGTGAGAGAAAGAAAAGGTGAACACACCAACCATGTGCCTCAGCCGTAGAGTTACAACGGCAGTGAAACTTTTCAAAACATTTTGCCAGTAATGAGATACTGACTTCTCTTGTTGTTTGTGACCAAAGTTAAAACAAGGCTTAAACTTGTATCTAGCGTCAGAATACCTTCTAGTGCCAGGATGCCTTACCTTGGTTTGCTAAACTTATTTGCAGGTTTCGCTAGTCCTTTGTCTCATTCCCAAGTCAGGATTCATTTTGGCCTTGAGAATGGCGACTAGTTTTCAGTTTGGCTGCATCACGATGGGTTGTTTTATACTTTAAGCTTGACTGATTTTTGGCAATCAGATGACAAATTGCAGTTAGTTATGCTAGCAAAATTAAATGCATCACGTTTAATGGGTGTGTGGGTGTGCATTGAACTACTGTTCTCTCTGTGCAGGAATTTGGAACATCAGTTTATAACTCTTCATCTACCACAGTGTCTTCTCCCCGAGAAAGAAAGTTTCGCAACAAAATCTGTGAACCATCCAGTAAGCTTACTGTCATTTTTATTGTTTTTTAAAAAAACCACTGAAAACTGTAAAATAGAGTCCTACTGGAATAATTTTAGGCCTGTTTCACAGAAGAAAAAGTATTATATACAAAGAGATAAAGTTATTAGATCAGTAGTATTTCACAAAGTGTGGTGCAATGGATAAAGTTTTGGATTAGCACTTAGGAGACCTGGGTTCAAATCCCCACTTAGCTGTAGAAATATACTACTGTGGCAGTGGTCAGCCGCTCATTGAATTGATGATGGAATTTCTTGTGTTATTCTATGCTAATAAGGAAGAGTGTTTCTGTTTGCAAGTCTCTCTGTCATAGCTCCAGGAATGTGAAACCTAGACATCTGGAACTTGGCATGCATACCAAGGAATTCTAGAGGTGTGCACGACAGGGATATTGGCTTTAAAAATTATTATTTGTTTGCTAGTAGAAGTTGATTTGTAGTAAGTATCAACTTCAGTTAACAGGGGAAGCTTCCTCTAATTATACAAGAGGAAGCTGCTGCCAGACTTGATGGCTGTAATCCTGCTGGCACAGTTTTGTGTGTGCAAGGCTGATGATGTCATCAGGTATAGCCTCTTATGGCTAATTAAAAGATCTCATGCTCCCAATCCTTTGGGAGCTTTGGAACTATTGTCAGCAACTTTCTTACATTAAAGACTCCCCCTCAACTCCCAAAGGCATCTCCAGGATTTAAAGATTCCCTAGGAAGCCATGGAACCTGGAGGGAAATTAGAAACTTTTAATTAATGCTTAAAAGCCATGGCTGATAACATCACCAATTCTATGCCTGCAAAGTTGTGGCAACAAAATTTGAACATTATATTTGTTTTTCTAGAGATCCTCTGAAAAGCTGTATGCATAGTAGGGGAAAGACATGAATTTATGGATAGCTTTTCATTTTAAATGCTATACATATTGTTTGTTGGAATATTTTCATTCTCATATATCTTTTAGTAAGATGTCAGTGTAGGATGTGATCTATGAATCAGCTTAAAGAGAACCCACATTCGAATAGATCCCAAACCAAGCCAGAGCGACTACACCTCAAATATTAGGTGGATTGCCATTTTTAAAACTCATCACAGAAATGAAGCTAACATTGGCCACCAAGAGCAATATAGGAAACTACCTTATACTGAATTATAGTGATTGTGTATCTATCCCAGTATTCTCAACTCTGACTAGCAGCTCCTTCCTGGGGGTTCCGGACAAGATTCTCTCCTAGCCCTGCCTGGAGAACCAAGGCATGTCCTGGTGATCTCCATCCAAGTACTAAGCATGGACCCAACCATGCTTAGCTTCCAAAACTTAGTGTCCTTGGGTGGAGGAAGGGTGATTCAAAGAGCAAGCATTCCATGACTAGTTTGAAAGTATTCCAACTAAGGAAATCATCTCCCTACCTATGTTCTGCCTTTCTCATAGTCTTCAAGTTGTCTAATTGACACCACTACACTACTAAAATGGTATTAAAATCATCATAATAATTGATAAACATCAAAACAATTAAAAAAGCAGAGAAAATATACATCTTTCCACCTTTCTTAAAAGAAATGAGAGTAGGAATTGATTGCTAGTCTAAGTGGAGTGTGTTCCATAACCTGAGAGCAACACAAGAGAGGCCAGCCCATCATACAAACCTTTACAGCTAATGACATTCTTAAGAGTTGTTCTCCTGAAGATCTTAACATTTTGGTAACTTCTTAACAAGCAATCCTATTATGACCTCAGGGTCCTGTACCTCAGGTTGATAGGCCACAAGCTTTATAGAGCTTCAGTGGTTGATACATATATTTTGGATTAGGACCAGAACAATGTTGATGGCCAGTGCTATCCATACTGTTTTAGTATCAGATTAATATTATTTCAATATCATACATTCAATTAGCTGCTGCATTTTGTATTGGCTGAAGCTTCTCAATGCCTTTCAAGATAGCTTCAAATACGGTATACAGTGGGAGCCAAGATGTAATGTAGTTGAAATATGGATGACTGTGGCCGAGTGGTTCACAAAAAGCTACAGTTGGTGCATTAAACAATTACTGAAATCTTGTTG